TAAGGTAAGAAAAAAATATACACACAGATTGGAAAGGGAAGAAATAAAACTGTCTATTTGCATAAGACATGATTGTCTACCTAGAAAATATCAACAAGTCTACAGAAAGGCTACTACAGCTAGTAAGTTGAGTTAAGCAAGGTTACAGGATACAAGGTAAATATACAAAATTTGGTTGTATTTCTGTGTACTAGCAATGAACACCTGGAATTCTAACTTTTTTTTAATGCCGTTTATATTAGCAGCTCCAGAAGCTGAAATATTTAACTTTAGGTCTGACAGAATATTTGCAGGATTTGTATGCTGAAAACTACAAAATTCTTGAGAAAGAAAATTTAAAAGACCTAAATAAAAGGAGAGAGATACTATGTTCATAAATTGGGAAACTCAGTATTTTTTAAAGCTGTCAGTTCTCCCCATTTTGAACTCTAGAATCGACTCAGTTCCAGTTACAAGCCCAGCAAGATGTTTTTGTAGATATCGACAACTGGTTCTAGGTGCAAAGCACTTTTGAAATAGAAGGTTGGAGACTCACACGATAGAGGAATCTAGGTGACCAGTAAATGAGAACTCTCTGTACTGTTGTGGCAACTCTTTCATAAGGGCAAAATTACCCAAAACAAAATGTTTTCAGAATCAAGTGTAATTTATGAGGCCTCTAATAGAAATGGCACTCCCTGCCCTGCTGTTTCCCAGCCCAGATTCTCACTCCTACAATATCCTTCTGATATTTTATTTTCATGTTTCTAAATAAAATGCTTTTTTTTTAATCACTTTTAGATGTTATCTATAGGCTTCCTTCTATGGAAGATTAAAATATGACTGTATAGCTTTCATGTGACATACACGTCCCCTCCCCATCTACCCTGTATGGTTCTGCTTTCTGTTTAACATGTTATATATGCATATAAAGACATACTTGTTCACATTTACATGCACACATGGATGACTATGTGAATGCTGTTTGAGCTGAGCCATATAGTGTACTATGATTCTATTCCATTTCTCGTCATTTTTGTTTGTTTTCCTTGAGCTTATCATTGACAGTCATTTTCATTGCTTAGTTTTCTATGTACCTATCACTAACTCACCACAAGAATTTCTAAAAAGCGTTGTAGTTTTTCTCCAAAACTGTCTACACATTAGATAATCTTCCAATCCTGTTTATTTCTCTCGGAGACACCACCCATGAACCCCTTTGTTGCTCTGCTCCCTGTGAGACTGGTTCTCCCTAGGTCTACAGAGCCGCTGTTATCCTGGGACTTCCCATTACTGTGATCCCAGGAATCCCCTTTTTGTTTGGTCTGGTCTCTGTTTGCATGCTAGAGGCTTTTATCAAATGGGTAGAGAGTCATGTTTAATATTGAGCACTGAAAAGCTGATGGAAATTCTGTTTATCTGAGTGTATAGATCATCTGATATGATGGAGGTATTTGATAGAGGGAGGTCCACGTGTCAGTATCTGTAGGTCTTTTTTCCCTGGGGTGATTTGGTTCTCCAGAAAAGAAAGGCCCTTGTCCTGCCTTGGGGTTCTGTGCTCGTGTCTCGGGGTGACGGCTGTGCTGGAGGAGTTTTCCCAGCTACTTCTTACCACTGCTCCCAGAAAAGCCCGTCTGACTTTACTTTTGTCTTATTCCAGAGGAGGGTGGGCAGGAGGGTGGAGGTAGGAGATTTCTCCATTTCACCCTGTTCTACGCCGCATTTTCAGAGCTTTCTAGTACCCCCAATTTCCCGGCCTTTCTGGGAATCTGCGGAGGGAATTGGATGCTTCCTACTGACTCCCTCTTTAGACGTTTAAGCTCGAGGTTTCTTTGCTCTTCTAAGTCAGTTGCCATTTATCCATTTGCTTTGCAACTTTCAAAACATCATCAGCTTTTATCTGCAGTGGGCTCTTTTCCCATTCCTCTTAGCTCCATCATTTTAGTTGAGTCTTGTGAGATGGTGAAAATAAGTTATGCTCACTTTGCTATGTTTACATAGTTGGCTTCATTTTCTTCTTTGTGTTTGATGTTATTCTTGACTTGCATTTAATCTCAGAGCCCTTGTCTGGCTTGGGTTCACTCTAGTTACACTCCTCACCCTGTTCAAGGAGAATGATTAGGTGGATATAAAACGAGAGAAAACCATTTGCATTTTGCCTGGTATGAAAGTAGTTGCAAAGTCAGTCTTACATTATGGAAAGCTGTCTCATCATTAACTATTAATCTAATAATAAGGCAAGAAAATGGGTCCTATTTAAATTCATCAACAAGGTCCAAGTTTTATGAGTGATAATTTTACAATGCCGAAAATATCATATTCATTTGCAGTGGATGCTGAAATAACTCAGCCCTCATTTTAAGGGCTATCCACATGGGATTTGATCCTCTGTATTCATGCAACCCCACTCCTTGCTTTATATAGCTTCTCAATTATTTTCATTCTATCACGTATATTATGATAAATATCTCAGGTTAACCTTTTATTTTTAACTACACTTGCAGCCTTAACTGCCATCTTGCAGAGTAGATTTTCCCTATTTTGAACACTCTAGTAAGGTAAAGATAAGTCTAGCTAATGCAAGAACTAAAGCAAAAAAATTTACACTCTATTTCTGATTTGATGATTTCATTACAATCAAATTAGTGTTTTTTGCTATCTCTGTACAATACTCATTCCTGGGATGCCTACATAAATTAAATTTATTAATTTACTTTCCAAAATGCTACTGTAGATGCCTTATGGTTTTATTTTTATAACATTGAGAAGTGGACAAATTCAGAGGACATACCTTTTCTCCAAGAGATTGTTTAAATTCAGTTGATATTTTAATGTGGCTTACATTTGAACTCAAATGCCACAGCCATTTTTAAGACTGGTTCCCTGGATTCTCTCACTACTACGTTGTGTTTCTCACTATACTAGTCTTCCACATGCCTCATGTCTTGAAGTGAACCTGATTTTGAAACTTTCCACAATTTACTTCCTGGGCTAATCACATGAGTTTGTAGGGAACTAGTGTGTCTTCTGTAAATGATAACATACATCGACTGATAAGAGTAAGGTAAACACTGTTACTTCAATGGGTTATTTTAACCACCCATTAACCATGTTTGCTGTGTGTACAAACATGATTTCAGTGTAGAGTTACCAATTTTCTAATACCTTCTTTCATTGGACTTATTAAGGTAAGTTTTTTTTGTTTTGTTTTTTTGTAATGTTTGTTAGGCAGTAAAAATCAGGGGGAAACAAAAAGGGACTTCAACGACAAAATGCTTATCTACACACAAATCTATTGAAGATTGAACAGGGTCCCTGAGAACCCAACTCATTGCTTTCCATCTCTCTATATCATCTTGGGCCCAGTGCCCATGGAGCTGTTTGTCCTATCTTTCCTGGCTTGTCTTCGGATTCTCCTGCCCAACAGTTGTGCTTGCACTGATGTCCTCAGCGCACAGGGGTAGGACAGGGTGTATTATCATACCTTCCCTACCATATGTAGCCAGCCAACCCTATTTTCTTACCACTTCTTCCAAAGCTCCCGCTACTGCAACCAAAAAAAAAGAAGCTACTTTAATCCTGGCTTGGCCCATGGTATTCTCCCTCTGCCGGAATACCCTCTCCCCTTCCCACTGTCTCTCTCTTTGCCTATGAGCTTTTACTCAGTTTAAATGTCGGCCCCTCTGTGGACCCTTTCTTGGTTTTCCTAGCCCGAGTTAGTTTGCTTCCTACCACAGGTTTGTACAGCCCTGCTTTGGAGGAACCAGCATCTGGTTGCTGCCATGCCTCCTGCAAGAGGGTAAACCCTTCTAGGTTTGGGTTTGGGTTTCCAGGACCCAGTTTGGACTCTTATTCATGGTAGGCTCTCAATAAGTTGTTCACAGATGAATGGATAGTGAGCAGAAAGAAATAGTTGTTGAATAAGTAAATGCATCTATTGAAAGTAAGATCTGGGCCAGTGCTGAGAATGATCATTCAGATTCTGTATTCCGTTCTTGTCTTTATTCCATTATCATGCTCACTTTTTCTTAGAAACAAAACATTGCTGTCTCATTTTGGGTATTAGGTTTAATATATAAAAAAGGAAATATTTCAGACTGATAGCCCATAGATGGTTCTGAACTTTAGGAACTACCAAAAAGGAAGACTTAGACCTCATTCCTGCTAATTCAGCAAAAAAACCCTTGAGTTTTACATAGCAACTCTAGGGGCAAAAAAAAAAAATGGATTTACTGAACGTAGGAAAGAAGAAAATTGCAGATAAAAAGATCAGTGTGAGTTATGTAATTCAGCTTGATTATTTTAGTTGTACAATTCTACTGGTGCATAGAAACATACAGCTTTTCAAGGAGTTTGGTCATAGAGTAGAGATGAGTGCAGAATCTCAAATGTTGAATTAAAAATGAAACACTGTTTTGATTACTTAAACATGTGTGGCTTCTAACGATGATGATGACAGCTGGTTTATGAGACATTTTACTCTTCCAAAGTGTGAGAAGGATTTCCAAACATGTATGTGGAGAACTCCTCCTAAAAACATTAGCTAATGATAAAAATAAAGTTACACACCAAAAGGTTTGCTTTTTGAATTTAGGCTTATGATCTATCTTCTCCTAATACATGGGGTTTTTTTAATTAATAAAATTCTGTATTATTTACTAAGGATTGTCTATAATGACTCCTTAAATTGGAAACTGGAATTTAGGAAGACATAATATTTCATATGTTTAGAAACGGGGTGGTTATCCTCACTAGGATAATAACCCAGACTTCTAGCCATCAGGAGACTTCTTTCTTAACCAAGCGTTTATTAATATTTGTAACATTTTTGTAACCTGAAGATTCTGATGGCACTTTGGTGTTCAAGATACGTGTGCTTCGGATCAGTGTAGTATGTAGTTACTGCTAGGGGTTTTTTTTGTTTGTTTATTTTGGTTTTGCTGTATCTTCAAACGGGTTTATTGTCCACTAAAAGCCTAATAAGTCTATAAAAAATGTTCTGCTTCTTCTGTCACTTATAGGTACTGTGGTCTTTGGAAATGGGTCATTGGATTTCCGAGGAACTGTTCCCTGCAGCTCCTGTAAGTCACATATTATTTTATGGTGGTAAATACAATTTGGTATTTTCAGGAAGTCATTATTAGCATAGATATACACTCAAGTTTTTTTTATTAAATCAAGAGCAATTATGCCTATAACTGAAAAGACATATTTGCAGAACTTAATACATTTTGTCTATTTGTGAGAATAAATGAGAGAATGTGAGAACATTCCTCAAAAAGTTGTGAGAAATGTAATCTCAAAAAATTTAATTATAAAAGTCCTCAGGATTGAGAAAAACAAAAATGAAAAAAGACTAGATTCTTGAGAAGATACTATTATATATTGCTTACTGCCTTAAAAAATAATGCTGTTACTGTTAACAGAGATAGAAGCGATAGGTATAAAAATTGTGGCCTGCTAGCATTGTGATGTGGTCTTTCTGTTTTGATGTTTTTCCTGAAACTCAGCTTCAGCTTTACTGATTTTCAGGTATTTCAAATGCTTAATGGGAAAGTTCCAGGTTCTAATTTTTTTAAAGATTAATAAGTAGGTAATTTCAGATCTAGTTGGAAGCAGGATTGTGCAGAAGTTGGCTTTTGTTTTCAAATGTTAACTGGTTTGTGACGTTTTATCCTTTCAAAAGATTAATACCTGATAGGTAAATGATGATGTGTAATCTGTGAGTGGTCTCCATGTTTTTTAATTGTTTGAGTATGCCGTATGACTATCACATAGTGAGAAGTTGAGCTCTGCCCTCCAGTCGCTGTGGTTATCTAGTTGTTGGGTTGTTTTTGTTTTCATTTTTGAGATTGCTGTTTTGATTTGCTGTGGACTTTATAAATGTTTTCTTAAGGAGAGAAAAAATTCCTCTCAGCAAGACTCTTTGTTTGAAATACCCGGTAAGGAGTTGAAGTGTAAAGTAAAAATGCAAATTGTCCCCCACTTGCTGTCATGAGAGAGTATACGTAACTCTGAATAACATAGTGAGGTTTGTCTTTGAAACTCACCTTATCTGCCTACATGGGCAAGTGAATATAAATTGTGTTGTTGCCAATTTTTCCCGTATTATCATTTCCCCACCTCGGTGTCTGTCATGTGGTCATTGAGATGTCATGGAAATTTATTGTTTCTTTTGAGACGGTGATATTTTCTTATTATCAGATGTTTTTTAGCTTGATACAAAGCTGTGCATAAATTCAACCTCTGTTACCCTTATGATGCCTTCTTACATGTAATAAGAGGAGCTGTTCTGGGATGGGAGGTTATGTTCTCATTAATATATTTGTTGGGAAAGGGCAGCATGGTGGAAAAGCAGAGGGCCTGACTTGTCCAGAGTCCGTAAGTTGACTCAGCCACACCCGAGTGTCATAAAACTAAGCTGGGAAGAGGAGGGGGGTGTGGGGATGAAATAAATTAGATAAGAAAAATGGAATAAAGAAAAAAATAGTGGTAGAACAGTATAAGGTGAAGACAGACACAGGTAAATGCTGGCTGCAAATTTGGCTCTAAGCTTCCTAGTAGCTGACTCAAAAGCGAATATATGAGAAATTGCTTCCAAATTATGAAGCATTACTCAAATGTTCATTAGTATTAATTGTACGATGAAAACTTCAAACGGAGTTAAAACTCTAGGAGTTTAAGGTTTTGCAGTCCTGAGCTTAAATCTGTGCTCTCAAAATTTTCTGTAAACATTTGAATATGCTGTAAATATCAGATTTTGGTTTTGCGCCCCAGAACACTTTTTTTTTTTTTTTTTAATTTGCTGGTGGTTTAAGTCTAGTAAGATTTAAGTTAATGTTACTAACGCAAATTATTTTTCCCCCTGAATAACTTCCGGGGTGAATCCAGCTTGAGAAGTGTAGCTTTGTAAGTGTTTTAAGTGGAAGGGTTTTCTGAACCACAAACTACATTGTAGCCTACTTCCGTAAAATACATCTTAGTAGAAGAGAAAAAAGACTTTTGTATTAGAATAGTGAGTAAAAGATAGCAAAGCCTCTTTGTCATGAAATTAAATGTATAATTTTCTTCCTCATTAAAAATCAAGATTTTCCTTGTCACAAGGCACAATCATTTGTTTCAGAATCATATTACAATGTTGTAAATATCATAAAAGTTAAATGCAGTCATCTCACCTAATAAGTTATATTTAATTACTAAAAATCCCTTCATATTTAACAGCGAGGCTGAAAAAAATAGTACAATCTTCATATATACTAAAAGAACACGTTTCTATTAATAATTTCAGAGATCCTGAAAGTTTTCACCATAGAAACTTGAAATATATATATTTGAGCATTAACTTAAAACTAACCTATCAATGCCTATGCAAATATGCTGTTCTCAAAATGAAACTTTAAAGCACCTAAGAGGAGGAGTAAAAATGCGTTAACTATGTTTTTCCCTCTCCAAATATTAAACCGCTAATAACCACTTCTCATAAAAATCCCTGAATATATAGTATATTTTTATGGCTTCGAGAATTTTTCCTTCCTTTTAATTATGATAGTGGTGCTGAATTCAGGACATATGGATATTTACACAGTCTATAAACAGTGCTCAGAAGAATGCAGTTCCAAGGTTATCTCTACGATATGGCATAAGTGTTCTGTTTTCCAGTTATTTACTGATCGACTCGCACATAACATTCTTGGTTGTGACAACAGAGCCTGTAAATTGTCAGTCTCATTCGCAAGCTTAAATTTATCTTCCCGTAGGCTTTCTACCAGGTCACCATGCCAGGCTGTGGCTCGTTGGGGCTTGTGCTTCGGTTCGTTGAGTGATGCGGCTTTAAGGGGTGGCGTTGACGGGGCTCTAACTGGGAGCCCGCGGGTCCCCTCGGTCTGGAGCGCGGGCAGAGTCTGCCCGAGCTGGAGAGGGAGGCAGCATGCAGCTGTGTCTTCCAGAGCTTTGGGATTAAGTCTTTGAAAACGGGAAGACACTGTTCCTCAGGTGTGCGCAGGCATTTAGAAATCTGCTGGGCGGATCATCATGGTCGTGGCCTTGAGCGAGTAGCCGGATCCTTTCCAGTAGTACCACTTAATACCATTGAACTTATTTGTGTTCTGCCTCTGTGGGTAGTACATTCCGTTCAGGTTGGAAGGACCACAGGCATCAAACCACCAGCCTGTGAAAGTGAAACACAGAAGGAATTAGGAGCCAGGTGGCCCTATCTCACCGTGGAGTTACAAATACTGGCTAATCCGAGAGTCACATTCTGCTCATTTTAAGCAGGTGTGTGCGGGCCTTCTTGAGAGTGGAGGGTGCCGCCCTGGCAGGTGGCAGTATGGTTTTCCACCTCTACACTGGCGGAACTGTAGCCCCTGGGGCACATGTTTTTACGTGCTTTCTTACTCCTCTGCCCCTGTGCTGTGGGGAAGGGCCAGTCACCCACAGACGTGACTAGGAGACCCACAGGACAGTTGAAAGTGTGGAAAAGTCAGAGCCCGAAGAATCAATGGGTGGCTCTCATCGGCCCAGGATCACCTTCCATCCAGTGCCAGCAACACGGTGGACCAGGCTGCTTCATGCTCCCCTCCGCCTAACAAAGAATGTCTTTTTGGGACTTCCCTGGTGGAGCAGGGGTTAAGAACCCCCCCTGCCAATGCAGGGGACACGGGTTTGAGCCCTGGTCCGGGAAGATCCCAGATGCCGCAGAGCAGTTAAGCCCGTGCGCCACAACTACTGAGCCTGCTCTCTAGGGCCCGCGAGCCACAACTACTGAGCCTGTGCTCCACAACTACTGAACCTGTGCTCTAGAGCCCACAAGCCACAACTACTGGAGCCCACGTGCCTAGAGCCCGTGCTCCGCAACAAGAGAAGCCACCACAGTGAGAAGCCTGCGCACCGCAACTAGAGAAAGCCCGCGCGCAGCAACGAAGACCCAACACAACCAAAAATCGATCAGTAAGTAAACTTATTTAGAAAAAAAGTCTTTTTGTTTCAAACGTAACCCCAAATTTTAAGTACTCAACGGAGCTAGATAAAAAGGAAACGTTTAAGTCCCAGAGACAGAAAGGAAATTTAGAGCTATAGTGGTGTGTTCACTAAGGTAAAGTGGGGGACCTGGGAGGCCGCTGCATGGCACAGTGGCGGGGCAGTGGGCATCCACACCTACACCTGAAGGACTAGGCTTGGGCTTTTAATACCCTTACCTAGAGACCCTGGGTTTGGGAGGGGAAGGAATGATCTAAGTCTACAAGCATTAATCCAGATAAATCTTTGAAAGATTGTGTTGGAAGGACACATACAGTATGATGCCATTTATATAAAAAATTAAAATACAGAAAAAAATAACTATTATCGATCTCTCCATACCTAGTAAAAGAAATAAATAATGTGAACGTTACGGGTATTGGTAGGGCATGTTTTATTTCTTTAAAAAGTATTCTGATGCAATTATTATATTATTTATACACTGAACTATGATCACCAGTTATTACATCCAAGTGCCTAAATTGTTTCCTGATAGTAACGGCTCCATGACTTAGGTTGATGCAGATTAATGTTGATTTGATAAGACGTTTGTGTCTGTGACTCATAAACCTTCAAAATATTCAAGAATATTGCAGATTTATAGATATGTCCATTCCAGAGCCTGTTGTCTGACTCAACTATAGAATTTACTGTCTATGCAAAAGTCTAGCTGGTCATTACGCTGGTTTATCTGTGGTCCAGACCACGGCTGGGAATCTGACCTCTACAGTCGGGACCGCTCTGCTGTCTCTCTTGGGCTGCGTTTCTTCTCCCCGATCTCCTTTCCACTTCTACTCTCAGCCCTAAATCTTGATCTGAGTAAGTAAATATGTTGTTTCCTTGGTTATTAATGCACTGATACTCTCTTGAGTAGCTCTTGACATTCGGGTGGTCTGAAAACCGCCACCCTCTGCGTGGACAGCTGGGCTCAGTGTGGGAATGACAGACAGGAAGCAGGATTCGGCGTGCTCCCTCCCCTCCCCTCCCCGCCCTCCCCTGGTTGGCTTCAAAAAGGATTACTGTGGTGGGATGGGAGAGACAGGCAGCTTTTACACAATCAGCATGATAGCTTTTTCTGGTTGAAATAATTACTGAAGTAAGTATGGCTAATAGGGAAGACCTAAGTTACCAACCTCTATTTATACATGGTATATATTCTCTAAGGAACCATAGGACTGATTTTCTTAATGGAGCCTAATTCTCTCAGTATCATTTTAAAGACTTGAAAATTACTGGGTTTCAAATTATTTCTGTAAATAAATCCTTCCTTTTGTCCATAAATGATTCTTAACTGCAGTACAAACACGTGACAAGTTGAGACCCTTTACTTGTTTATGCAGTACCTCGTATTCATAAGATATATTGCCTGCAGCTCTTTCCTCTGGTTTTCCTGGGTGAGTAATGAATGAATTTTTGGTGATACAATTCACGGTCTACAAATTAAACCCTGCCAACTTCCTGTTTGCCTCTGCATTTAGCCTGCCCTGTTGGCAGTATTTTTGTTGCTGATTTCAACCTTTCAGGGTTTTTAAGAGCCAACTCCACAGCATCTGCCCGACTTGTTCCTGGTCTCGATCACAGTTAACTGGTTTTGGTTATTCCACGTTTAAACTTTCAGGAATCGGAAGTGTAGGTTTTCTAACAGCTGGTTCCTGTCACTAAACTTGGAAATGTTTCTGAAAACTCATCTGGCCATTAAGTGACTGTTAATATCACATTTGCTTATGGGTATGGTTTCTTTTTGTTTGTCTGTTTTTTGTTTTTAAGAGGTCTAACATGAAAGGTAGAAGGCAAGAAGAGCCTGAAGATAAAGGCCTTAAACTGGACAATCATTCATTTTAATTTGATACACAGAAAAGGAGCTTGGTTAATTACTTTCTGTGCATTATTAGTATTTGCTATATATTAATGAAATACTTAAGAAAAAGACAACTGAAAAATCCTTGTTTGAACAATAAATTATTAATTGGAAACATTTCTATACTGATGAATCTATTTCACTGTTTTGGTAGCCATTTTTAATTTTTAACCATTTTAATAAAGCAAAATGGAATTAAACCATCGTGCCAACATCTGATACTCAGCACAAACTCCAGAGAGCCTGCTGAGTATCACACGGCCCCTCTCCTTGCCAGGGGTAGGTCCTGAGGAGACACAGTTGGCCTGCTGACAATTCTAGCTCAATATCACATTCGTGTGTAAAACTCAACAGTCTGAAAAAGCGAAAAACAAATCTCCCTGTATTGAGCAAGTAAGTCTATTTATGAAATTTGGACATTGTCACCAATCACAGGTTGAAGTCCAAAGAGCCAGCCTTTCCCTCTATGAAATCCTTCCTTGCCAATACAAATAGGAAGAGAGAAACGTCATCCCACCTCCTGTGAGCATTTGTGAACATTTGCAAATACATTTGTCGTTGTCTGCGTCCTTTGTGCTAAAATCATTTCCTGGTTGGCTTATGCTGCTTATTTTGCCGGCTGTCCCTGTGAGTCCTTTAAGGTGAATCCTGTAAGCATGCAAAGAAAAAGAAAAAAAAAAAAAGGCAAAACATAATTGGCTTGGGTGGTTGATTTATCATAGTGGAAAGTTTTTTACAATGAAGAATTTCATTCTACAGAAACACGTGCTATGCTGGTTAGTGCACTAGTGCATACTCTGGACAAAATGTTTTTGCGCTGATATAAACAGGAACCAACTTATCATCAAATCCTTAGGCAAAGAGGAATGTTTTCGTGAAGACTTCAACGCGTGTCACTTGCACAGGCATCAGTGGGGACTTGGGGGCCCTGTCATTTATTTTCCTGCTGCTTTCAGGTAAACAGAAGAGGAGAAAATACATCGTGACGGGATCCTCTTTCCAAGTCTCCAGGCATCATCCATCTATTGTAGAAATGAGAATCCAGGATGACTGGTGGGTGTGGGGAGGACGGCAGACAACAAGGGATGACCACTGAATGTGAAGTAGAAATCTAGAGAACTGTGTGGAAAAACAAATCCTTGTGGCTGCTTTGCCTTGTTTCTGAATAGTATTATAATAAACCTGCCAGACATTGAGAAAGAATAAGCGGACTATTAAGTTAGACCCTAGATAATAGCCCAGGCTTTTAGAAGATTGCAGAAATCTGGCTCGCCCCAGCACTGTGCCTGCCAAGGAGGCGGGGAGAAGGGCAGGGGCAGGTCCTTGAGCCCGGCTCCAGGAAAGCCCCAGGCAGACAGGCTCCGGAGCTCGGAGCAGGGTCCAGGGGACGCGGGTGCCTGTGTCGAGCTCCATGTCACAGTGTGGCGCTTAGCGCATGGAGACCTGAATTTCAGGGTTATCCTCATGCTTCAAAAATGACCCTGGGCCCTAGCACAGCCTCTGCATACCTGCTGCAAGGCCTTCCTGTAAGTTCTGCTCACCACTGGGATTTTGAAACACTTTAATTTTTGTCCAGGCCCTTCTCATTAATCGTAGGTAGGGTTGAGATGAACTACTCCCCGTGCTTTTCCTCCTTTGAACTCTCCTGTCTCCTTTGAACAATCTCAGTTCTAGTGGAACGCATTAAGTTTCCCCAAAGCAAAAGAAGGGAGAATACTATGTTTTATGAGTCTCTATGAGAAAAGTTGTATCTTTTTAGATCCTTCTGCCGTGTGGCCCATTGTTTTATTTTATTTTTTATTTTTATTTTGTGGCTGCGTTGGGTCTTCGTTGCTGCGCACGGGCTTTCTCTAGTTGCGCTGAGCGGGGGCTACTCTTGGTTGCAGTGCGTGGGCTTCTCATTGAGGTGGCTTCTCTTGTTGTGGAGCACGGGCTCTAGGTACGCGGGCTTCAGTAGTTGCAGCATGCAGGCTCAGTAGTTGTGGCACGTGGGCTCAGTAGTTGTGGCTCGTGGGCTCTAGAGCGCAGCCTCAGTAGTTGTGGCACACAGGCTCTAGGGAGCGTGGGTTTCAGTAGTTGTGGCTCATGGGCTCTAGAGTGCAGTCTCAGTAGTTGTGGGGCCCGGGCTTAGTCGCTCTGCAGCATGTGGGAATCTTCCCGGACCAGGGATCGAACCCCTGTCCCTGGCACTGTCAGGCGGATTCTTAACCACTGTGCCACCAGGGGAGTCTGGCCCATTGTTTTAAAGTTGCCTTCTTGTAAAATTTGATTATTGAGAATAGCCACGGGGAAGCCCTAAACGATTTTTTAAAATGGAGTTTTCTGGCTCCTGAAGTAAATTTTGGGCATTATCTGCCTAATTATTTACTGTCTAAATAGAATCACCCAAACAAGAATAGTTTCCTTGAGGTTATGGCCTTAATATCATAATAAGACCAATTTAAACACAGAACATTTTTAATAATTAGGCCAAATTCTAGTAAATATAAATTTCAACTTAGTATCCGAGTTATCATGAATTGTCATTGCCTTCCTCGATGACATCCATTGATGAAATTAGAACCCTTCTCTGTATTAGATTTATATAGATACTAATGTAGACTTACAATAATATCACATTTCCTTTAGATAATCAAATGCCATTAAAACAATTAGCCCTCTGACAATCCTATGTTGGGTTATATCGTCAACTATCGTGTCTTGAATTCCTGCTACAGCCAAGTATTTTGTGCAAATTATGTCATTTATTTCTCACAACCATGCTTGAGAGTATACTTGTTCCCATTTCACACCTTAGGAGAGTGAAGCTGAGCACAGGGTCACACTAGGAAGTGGCCGATCCCTGATAAAAGTCCCCAGTCAGCCGACTCCCAGACAGGTGAGATATGCTTTTACCTACACCACGTTCTGCTCTTCTCTGCTCAGCCCTTCTATCACCTTTTTTTTGGAAAAGAGAGCATGCAAATACTGTAAATAATTCTAATTTCTACATGGATGTTATAGAAATTAAAACATCCGTAACAAAATACTCAACCTTTCAAAAATAACATACTACATTTTAATATTCTCAAACCAAATATGGTATTCAGTAAATGGTTACAGAGGATTGATATCTATGCTTTGACCCACCGCCTTTGAGAAACATTACATGTTGTAAAAAACATTTTTCTTTCACAGAAAATTTGTCTCCAACGTGCTGTTCGGCCCTGAGTTGTCTCTTTTTTTTTTTTCTTTTTTTTCCTTGCGTTATGCGGGCCTCTCACTGTTGTGGCCTCTCCCATTTGCGGAGCACAGGCTCCGGACGCGCAGGCTCAGTGGCCATGGCTCACGGGCCCAGCCGCTCCGCGGCATGTGGGATCTTCCCGAAACGGGGCACGAACCCGCGTCTCCTGCATCGGCAGGCGGACTCTCAAGCACTGCGCCACCAGGGAAGCCCGGTACCCATTGCTTTTACATCACAGTGGAGTGAAAGGAGAGGTAATGCCAACATTTAATAATTAAATCTCAGTGTTTGTATAGAATTGCAAGAATGTTTGTGAAAAGTGACCAATTCTTAAGGTTTAATATACAAGTAGTTTTTAGTTTTAGTAAAAATAATCATACTCTATTGATGCATTTATCCCTTCTTGTAACGTGTATTTTTTCAGTTTTCCTACATTCGGGAAAAAATTCCTTTAGTGAAAAACAACTTAGCTGCTACATACAATTGGTATTCTGAAACATCTGTAGTTATTGTTTTAGTCACATCCCAGTTTTCTTATCACATTGACATGTTTTATTAGGATAATAATTTTTTCAGTGTAGTATCTGTTTTATACTGCCAAGTAAATTAAACTGAGCTTTAAACAACTGTGTGCTTTTTAAAATGGCATATCCAAAAATTGATTGCATTTCTAAAGGAAATATCTGTTAAGAACCATCGCAGTTTAAAATATTTTTATAATGTCAGCATACAAGGGTAATGACCCATATTGTAAAATCTTCTTATATAAACAGTCTAATCCTTAATTTTTGTGTGTGTGCTTTTTTTTTTTTTTTTTAATTCCTGTGTTGTAGATTCCTAACTGTTGCCAGTTGAAAAAATATTTAGCTTGGAGGTCAAACAATGACCAACCACTCATGTCTAAAAATTCATTGAAGTTTTGATCTGTGGAGTCAACTTTGGGCTGCAGTGAGGCCCCAACACCTATCTCTTCATTCATCTGAGTTCCCATCCACCCTGGACAGCCGGCTCTTTCTGTAATGAGAGCTGATGGGCTGTTTCACTGACTTCTTAAAAGTCGTGTCGAAGCTTGTCGTACATTATCTGTTTTCAAAACATGCTTCTGAATTTTGGTCCACTGTTTATAAAGCAGGACACTGGACATTGTGCAGTTCTCAGGTGGCTGTCAGCAAGCTGGCTTTCAGCCCGTTTTTTCATGCTGTCCATTGCGAGCCTCCCCAAGGAAGCCAGCTCAAGGATTTCGAAATCGTGGGTTTTTCCCAAACTGCTCAGATCTTGGAATTTCTGTTGAGCAGGGGGTCCGAGTCGGGCATCAGTGGGATTTAGGCGGGACGGCAGGCCAGTTGACGCCTGTCTCCTGTGACGTTCCTATGGAACTTCGCTGTTTATTTCTTTCAGAGTTGGTGTTTCAGAAGGTGTGCTCCGTGATCACCAAAACCCCCAAACACCACCAGTCCGAGCTCTCTAGACTCCCTCAGGGTGTGTTGGTGCCTTGTGTTGTGCCTTCTCAGACCAATTCCCGTGTGGCCACCGGGCACCCCATCGCCCTGCTCCGCGCCGCCGTCGACACGCATTTCTGAGCCCCTCTCCCTGTAAAGCACAGATGCACGTGCCTACTTTCCTTGCCTGGCACAGCAGGTTGTAAAGATCCTTTGCTCTGTCTCTACTCTCTGGGCGTTTTAGAGCCAAAGAGTAAACTCCCAGTCAGAATTGCCCGTGCTTTTCTTGGAACATTCAAGATTAGCTGTGTCCAGGGGGTGGGAGGAGGTAGGTAGATACTGAGGCAGTGCTGTGAATCAGCTGGTCTTCCTATAGCAGAGGGCAGAGGGTCTGGCTACCTACTGCCCACCTAATCCTTCCTCTTTTGAACTTGGCAACTCATCCTGACTTTGGGATGGAACGTAACAGTTGAATGTGTTTAAACTTCAGAAAGATAGATTTAACTTTTAAAACCTTCTGGAAGAAAACAATATAGTCGTGGGTATACATCTGTTGTGGTATTGGCATGGCATTTTATGATAGGGACACAACATTCACCTGTTCTACAAATAGTTGTTAAAGGCCCATTATCTGCCAGGCAGGGTTCATCTGTGCCCTGAGGATACACAGCAAACACAACAGGCAAAATTCTGTCCTCATGAAGCCTTCCTTATATTGTTGAAATTAAAGTTAGAATGTTGAAACTAGAGGAACTTACCTAAAGGCGGCAAAGAACTCTAAGAAACAAGATGTTTTTCCCCCTTAAGGTAGCCTATGAGTAATTTAGATTCTGGTTAATACAATGGGGTTCTGACTTTCTGGAGTCATCACCCAGCAAATCCTTTAACTTTTTTCAGTGACATATAATTTCCTTACCTGTAATTGAGTTCTTCGCTTGAGAGATAGAAATGGTCGTACAACGAGTAAGCCTCATTCCCTTCCCAGTCTTTCAGGTGTATTTTAAGCACATAGCGTTTCTGATTAGTCACTTGTGAAACAAACTCATTTCCCAGCCAGTGTTCGCCTGAAGGGTTCCCAAATCCCTGAAATCGAAGTTGTAAAATTCACTTACTTCATTTATTTTTTCTTCATGTATCTGAAATCAATAGTCCATCAATTTAACACGGAATAACCATTCAATATTCAACAGAAATCCCTTCCCGTACTGTGAAACTTTGGGATCTTCCATATAAGAAAGATTTTTAAAAGGTCAGTTTTAGGAAACTAAGCTGTTACCAGAAGGAAATCTAATTATTGGGATAATTAGAACGACTTGGGGAACCACCAATATCATAAACAGCTCAGTTTACAGACGTGTGAAACACTATGAAACAGTTTACCAAAAAATGCTGAGCCCACCATTAAAAATAAGCCTAACTTTCGCATGCCTTTGTTTTGATATGTAGTTTACATTACATTGGCAGGACCATTCTTTAATGGGGAGACTGAAACACCAGTTAAAAAGGACCCTTTGGTTAAAAAAAAAGATCAAAAGTCATTGGTTACTTTTAGATTTGTGGTAAAGTTCCTGCACATTCTCAAAGTTAGTTTTCGCAAAGAAAATTATTTTCAGATGGTTTAAAGAGTATTCATACCACTTTATATTCCTTCCAAGTCCTCTGAAAATCAACACTGCCATCTTCACGTCGCTGAATAATTGTCCACCCACCTCCAGCTGTTTCCATGTCACAGTAAGCCTGCAAACAGGAACGCACAATTACTGCCTGGGAAGTGTTCGTGACTTGGGTCTTTGTCTTAAATAACAGAAACGAGATGAACGGAGATACTTATAATAAGACCAGGGCTGATGGGGTTCTCTGGGGTAAATCTTGTGGTCTTCCAAGAGGCAGAGGATTTTAAAGAAATTGAAAACCATGAATTTAAAATGATGATGAAAAATAAACAGTAATATAACATGATGTGTCGATGAAACTAGGACCTTGTCATCATCTGTTCTAGGCTAAAGACCCACCCCGATAGCTGACCCTGAGATCGCTGTTCCTTAGAGATTCGTTGGGAATGGGACGTGTTGGCAGATTGGCCCCAAACCTCTCATCTCCAGCCTGTAGAAATCCACCGCCTCGTGTTCACAGCCCTGAAAACCTTTATGATGGTTGCCAGTCCCGACTGACTCTCCAGAGAGTGGTGTAAAAGGGAGACTCTTGCCTTGTGGGGTTTCCAAGACTCCTGTGATGACATGGGGCTGTTTGGCTTCCTCCATGTGTGGGATCAAAGTCAGGTTTCCTGGTTCATCCCTCAGAACAAGGGACCGGGGGCTCCCGTGTACCCACTGTGTGTGTGTGTGACCGGAGGGGGCCTGGCAGCTCCACCCCACAGACCCTGACTTCATGCTTCTCTGCACTTTGCTCACTGCCCCTGTTCTTTCTCTTCCCAGCTCTTTTGATTTCTGCTTTTAAACGGGCTTGGTGGCTTCAAACTTTGTTCACTACACAGGATTCTTTCTTGGGCTAGGAGCATGCATGCTCAATTTCAACTCAGCTGGAGTTTTATTATGAAATTAAAAACGCCTGAAAATAAGATTACACAAATAGTTTTAAATAATGAGATTATAGTAGAACGAAGGAGTTTTCCAAAAATTTAAGATGAATTTCCTTACAGGTTACAAGGTAGTAAATGTGAAAGTTAAGGTTCAGAAACAATTAGAAGTATTCTTCCTTTGTTGTCTTCCGTGGTCTTTGGGGGGAATAATGGAGATAATTTTGGCAGAGTAAGTTTACACGTCAACTGTACTGCATTTGTGAGCTGAAATCCTAGAGAATGGGGGCTGAAGGAGAACCCGGAGTGCACCTGGACCCACCCTTTCATTGTCAGCGCTTGCTGGCCGTCCTGTTTCGAGTGGAACCAAGAGCAGCAGCTGGAGCCCAGCACTGTTTCTCCCATTGCGCGCGCTCTCCGCTGCCATTCCAGACTCTCTCCAGGACGGACGCGCGGCCCGTTAGCGCTTCCCCAATGACCCTCATGTTTCGAAACGTGTGTTCCATGGAAGATTATATTTATCAAGAATAAAATGATTTCCCCATTTTAAATTAATCAGCCGTATGAAATCGATCTGCTTAATATAACCCCTTATCACCTCTCTGTGTTGACATTATTATTATTATTAACTATCGTTGTTATCATTGCTGTGCATCACTCTGTTCCAAGCACCAGGCTAGGTACTTTCCGTGCATTATCTGTAATCTCACGGCAACTCTGCAGTGATACTATCATTCTGCGTGTTTGAAAGGAGAAAAGATTTGGTAAAGTGAGGTTAATTTGATCAGAGTCATTCAGCTATTAAGTGGCATATAGGATTTGAATAAGGTCTCTTTAATTTCCTAATTCTGTGAAGTGTTTTCTACTCCCCCATGCTTCCGAAAACAGAGAAAACTGACTCTTTGTTAATAGGTCAGAAGGCCCTCCATGCAGCTCCACGTTGAAATCAGTTCATGAATAATACTGCCTCTCACTCGCCTCTGGTCCACAAGATGGTCAGTACTGCTCACTTCTGTCAACGTGTCTAGTAAACTAGCTGAATAAGCTCCATTGATCTGAGCAGAGTCCTGCACACACATGTTAGCTCCCCTGTGTCCTAAAAGGCGTGCTAGCGGGTAGAAGGACGGCACACTGTTCTCAGGGAGCCTGTCCTCGTTCTATAAAACTTGCTTCTTCAATGTCAGAATCACCCTGATGAAGTTGCTGGTATTTAAATCAGAGAACAAGTCCATCTTGTTGTGGAAATCAGTGAAGACCAAGAGCTGGGGTCTGAGCCATACTATCCTCTAACCCCATTAGGGACAATGACGGGATCATGGGAACGCTTTCTTAATATTACTTTGTCCAGCTTCAGAAAAAGAACAGAGCATTTATAAAAACTGAAGTATTATGGTTAGTTGGCTCGTGAGGCTTCCAGAGGAAGATAGTGTTCAAGTAGAGTTCTCCACATGGCCAGAAGGTACAGATGAAAATGATGAAATAGCTTATATCAGGGTCGGAAAAGCGTAAGTCCTCAGATAATGCCCATGGCCTCACTGCTAAGTTACAGCAAGCCTGAGGGCGGTTAATACTTTTGATGAGCACACCATGGTGTGGTCCAGGGACCTGATATCTCGCTCTAAAGCTTGATTTCTTTCAGCAAATAGCGCTTGATTTAAATGTTATGCTTCGGCTCTGAGGCCACGGTGAATGAGTGATTAAAGAGCAAACAGATCGACATTAGGCGTCAGGTATCCTGGGAAATGTAGGGAAGGAAACTCTTATGTCTCTAACTAGCAAAAATGTAACCCTAATGCTTCTGATAAATGCCATCTTGCAATGCCTATCTTGTACAAAAACCTAATGAATTCTTCAAAAATAAGGTTGAAATAATATTTAGGCCTCTTTGGGAAAGATCTGCGCAGAGATCTGTTGAACATCCTTTCCTTGAATGAGATGAAGCAGGCCAAGCTCGGGTGCCCTGGCCCACAGAGAGGTTGTCTCACAGTCCTTGGGTGTTGAATGGGGCACTGAGCCCTGTCCTGGGTGCTCATCTCCATCATCACCCCGAAACCGCTCTCTAAGACAGGGGACATCGCGTCACGTCGCAGATCAGGAAGCGGAAGCCTCACGCAGGTTCAGTGACTTGCTGAGAGGCACACGTTGGCAAAGTCAGAATTTAAACCCAAATCTATCAGACTTCCTCAGATTGAATTATGGAGTCTGAAGTCTGGAAGGGAATCCAGAGGTAACTCATCTGGACCATATATTTTAGAGATGAAAAAATTGAGGCTTCAAAGATTGTTGTTCCCGGCTGTGTCAATGGTTGTTTTCACTGCGTACGTGTAAAAGGCATATATAAATCCTAATGTTTCCAGCCGTGGCCTGAGACCACATCACCCCAGAGCTGTATATCTTATTCTCCCAGCAGTGAGGCCTTTGGGGTTGGTACGGCGAGCTGGGGCAGGGACACGCACTGAGGCAGGAAACATTACACAGTCCCTCTGGGTCTGCATCAGGGAGCAGCCTACTCTACTTTCCATTCTCCTGCTCAGGTCACTCCTGTCCCCTTACCTCCAGACCCAGAACAGACCGACATCTGGTGACAGACAACAGTGTCCAAAGGGCTGGCATGAGAACCAGATAGCACAGGGGACTGAAGGGCTTAGTATAGAGTCTGCTCACTACTTTTTCATCTGCAACAGAATATTTGGGTTTTTTCTCCCCTTAATACACTGCTTTTAGGGTGCTAGGGACATTAACTGATTTTCAAGGTTGATTTAAAGCAGCACGAATGAATTCGAAAGATTTCTTTGGAAAGTCTTATCGTGAATAATAGCACAAGAATATTGTGCTATTATTCAAGATAAATCGAATATTTATCTTTTAAATTCAAAATCAAGTGTATGTTACTGTTTGGAATTCCACATCTTTAAGCCCTTGTTTGTATTTTTAAAGTGTTTTCCTTTATGACCATGTTAAATACTGAGGATAACCCTGAGTTCAAAGAGATGATACTTTCAGGAGCCTTTAAAATCTCCATTTTGATACAGCGTCGTGCCTTTTCTGTAAGTGTTTCTGTTCATTCAATGTGTAGCTGCTTTTACAGTTAGACGTAAGCATACTTATAGGCATTTAACATATACAGTCATCCCAGAGTTCTATAACACTTCACACTGCTTCTCATGTAAAGTTGTTTTACCTTATCAAAGCCACATCGAAATATTCCCCGGGTAAGTGACTTTTTTTTTTTTTTCTCATCTAAAGCTTAACATCTCCCAAAGCAAGTTTTCCAGAATATCCAAGAAAAACTGAGTTAAGCTGTACACTAGCTTCTCCTGATGGTAAATTCTGATTCTTGGTTCACTTATGAGCTTCCACCTTGAAGTAAACTCCAGGTACTTGGGAAGAAAGTGACCTGCTCTCATTGATGGTGTGATTTAAGTCTTCCAGCCCATCAGATGGGGTATGAATGGCCCACCCAGGGAAACCTTGAGCCCCCTGCAGCAAGTCCAAAGGGTCGGAACTGTCTCCATAACCATGTCCTTGGCCTTTGGGGCTGTGACAGCATTTGCAATGATGGTACAAAAGCACTAGTGGGTGAAAGTGCCAGTGCCCTAGAATGAACTAACTAGTGCAGACCATGCCGGAGTCACTGTGTTTCTCAGTCACACACTTGCAGTTTGGGGGGAAAAAGCCAATTTCACTTCAGGATGTCTCTGACAAAGCAGTAAAAAAGTATTAATTTTATTAAACCTCTGCTGCTCCGGGCACGTCTCTTTATATATCTTTTTATATTCTGTTTGATGAAATGGAAATGAGTATAAATCACTTCTGCACATCAGGGTGCCATAGCTGTCTCAAAGAGAAATTTTGTGTGACTGTTTTAGGTGCAAGTTGAGCAAGCCTTTTGTTTTTTGGATGGAATACGATTGCTGCTTGAAATAACGATTGAAACATAAACTATGGGTATTCGAACTCTGGTAATTTGGAAGACATTTTCTTTAAAGTTAATGATGCGAGTCTGACACTTCAAGGCAAACAGCTGACACTCTGCATGACTAAGCCAAATACAAGGAGAAAATAAGTAGATTATCTTACATATTAGGTAGACACATATAATAAGATAGATATTTCTACATCGTTCGTATGCATTGTCAGTGTTCTTTGCCCAGTGGCTGGGCTCGGAGCCCTTGGTAGAGACCTTTACGTGTGTCAGTGTTTCTTGCTTTGCTCTGAGTGGAGCTGGGATGCATCCGGGGTGTGTGAACTATGTCTGCAGTTGCTCCACTTCTAAAACGACTTGCTTCAAGCCAGGGAGCTGAAAATGGGAGACAGTGCCTTACCTTGATCTCCCCCGTGGAGTTAGGGAACGTCAGTGTGTAGATGCCACTGGTGGTCAGTCCTGATTTGAATGCTTCCGCGCAATCTCTGAAGATGACTTGTTCTTCCTTAGCAATGAGGGAGTGCTTAGCTGCTTTTTAAAAATAGGAAAGCTTTTAAAAGGAGTCCGTGAAAGGATAAAAAGTATGTTATTTCGAGATGCACTCATTTGCTAAGTTTTATTACATTTGAATTCTTACAATAAGTAAAAGGGAGATGCTAGTATTTTAGCCTTTCAGAAGTTCCTCCTTCAGCCTGTTTCGTGTTAACTCTCAAAGATTGTTACCAATAATCCACACTTCCTTCTTCTCATCAACTATATGTAATGCAAGCACTTCACACTCAGCCTTAATAAACTATTACTTTAAAAAAAATCTTCCATCTTGAGTAGAATCAGGTAAAGTTATTACGGAAGAATAAAAAAGAATGTACCTAAAAACTGTTGGCTCTACAGTGGCTGCATCCATAGCCCATTAGCCATGTCCTATCTAGGCAGTGGTGTGGATTGTTTTCCTTTCTTTCTGTGTATCTGAGGCCAAGTCTTTATACATTTCTTTAGACCATTGGGTGAAGACATTTAGTAGTCTTTGGATTTTTAGCAACCGTCTCATGGTAGCTTGTGTTAAAGAGGAACCTAACATTTATTTATCTGCATCTTTGAAATTCTTCCTTTTAAGTCTAAAAAGTCCAGGACTATGAAATTCTCTCAAATTTTTATTCTGCTCTCAACGTTTAGACTTCCCAATCACTTTTTTGCCACATTGAAAAGGTGTTTGTGTGTATGTATTCTTGCAGGTATGTATTTGTACGCCACTCTAGAGACGGACAAAAGCCTAGGTGTCTGGACCAGGTGGCGTGGGCAGGCATCACAGGTGGAGGCTCCCGTCTGCGCACCAGCCGCAAGCACACGGCACAGACGAAGCCTGTTCTGCTGCTCTTCTGTGCTCGTTTGTTCTGCCAGGATCTGAGCCATGTGATTTTCTCTACTTTGGCTCATCCAAGCTAATACCTCACACTGTCTGGGTCCCACCAGACATCAGATAATTGTCTTTTCCTTTTCTCTGAATGTGAGAAAAATATATGATTTTTTTTAAATTATAAGAGATGAAACTCTAGTTGGAAGGCACATGCTGCAAACTGGCCACCTGGTGTGAAACCTGCCACTTAGCACAAGGTTGTGCTACTGTTTTTGTTTGTTTGCTTCCTTGTTTAAGTAGAAACCTTGCTTAAATGTTTCTGTAATTAAAGTGGGGAAAACTGTATGAGTCAAGGAAAATGTGAGAACATATTTCTTATGGATGTAAGAGTGTCTCTACATGAATCATGTGTAAAGTGCATCTGTGTCAAAAGAATACAGTTGAAAGGACACTATGAAACAGACCATAGCAAGAACTAGACCCAATGTTTAAGAAAAAAAAAAAAAAACTTAAAAATACCACACAGGTTGTGTATCCTGTCTCTAATTAACGACTGAAGATGCATCCCTTCTTCCCTCTAATATCGAAGAGAAGTTGAAAGGTCAAACAGGAATAAGGAAGGCAAGATGTAGTTAGGGATGTGGTGAGAAAAGGAAACTGGCATTTCTTGGGTACCAATCTTATGCCAGTTACTGCAAGTACCGATATTATCTCATTTAATCTTCACGACAACCCTACGGGCCTAGGATTGTTTCTCCCTCTTAAAAAATAAAAAAATGTCCACTATGGTTTAGTAACTTACCCAGCCCCAAACATCTAGTTAGCAACGGAACTAACTAAAAGTAGACTCTCTGAGCCCATGAACAAAAAAGTATGTTTGGGTTGGTTTGCCTCATAATAATTAGTATAAATATATATTCCCCTTCCCCTCTTCCTCCTTTTTAATCGATTCCATATTGAGACCCTATAAAGCATTCATTTGAAATATGTAAGAGAAATGTGCTTTTTCTGAAAGATGAGAGTCTTTTTTAGAATTTTGAAAGGTTCATCGACTACTGGCAGATAAAACTGAAGAAAAACTCGTATGTAAACTTTACTTACAGTTTGATGTCGATATCATAGTCAGTAAATTATGAACTGTCTCCATCAGGTCGTGTTGCTGCTTTTGGAGAACTGAGTTATTCACCGTGGCCGTCACCAGTTGTTTTTCTAGTTCTTCAATGATGGAATTTTGCTTGGATACCAACACCTGGAGCTGATCTTTCTCTTCTTTGATTGACCGAAGTTGAACTATGTGCTTGTCTTCCATATCTAGAACTTTCTTTTCCAGGAAACTTGTGAAGGGAGATAATTGTTAGTTAGTGAAGGGTTTCCTGATCACCATCAAAGCCAAGTGCTTTGTAAACAGCTCATCAGTTTCATAATCCTTATACAATCGTTTATATTTTTTTGAATTTCTGCTTCTCCAAGGCACTCTGTTAAGATGTTCAAGGAGTTATAAAGTGACAAGATGCTGCCACAGCCCTGAAGAAGCTCTCAAACTTGCTGAGATCAGATACATAGATAGGACATGAGGAGAAAGTACCCCAGTGAAAAGGTACGGTTCACAACTAGAAGTTACCACATGCAGTGCACTTGAAGACCGTGGTTCCGCTGAATGGACAAAGGACAGTGACAAGGTGCCCTTGGTTTGGGAACACCTTTGGGTCAGTGGGGAGAGCCCCGGGCTGAGAACCTTGCCTCTGCACGTGATCCCCTGGGTTACCTGGGGCAGACCATCCCCCCCTTGGATCTCAGGTGTATATCTATCTAAGAGAAAGTCCACCTACAGAAATAAATCTCTATCCATAGTGAAGGCATTAGATTAGATGATGCTCTCTGAGACCCCTTCTAGTTCAAATAATCCATGGGTCTGTTGTTCCCTTTGCGGGGCAATAACATTTTCTGAACCTTTAACCCTGGAAACAACATTACTCAGCCAAGGGACAAACTACCCGTTACAGGTCTTACCTGTGAGCATTAACAATCAGTATGAATCATTATTATTATTATCAGAAATTCAGTTGCAGCTCTTAAATTTATCCCAGTCCAATAGTCATTGTAAACCAAGTATACTGTCAAAGTACCAAGTCAAGAAATAATCCGTTACCGTGATGCAGACATTTGCTTTCGGCTTTCATCAGTTGCGCCATATCCATTTTTTCAACTATTATTTCTTAACATTTTTACTGATATCAGCTAACTTATTTTCTTTTAACTTGTGTATCACTTTCATTGATCTAAAAACCAAGATGACTTACCGTAAGCAGAAGGTAACCTAAAATTAAATGCATAATTTTTTTCTTTTCTACCTAAAATCATTTCTAGGACCATCAGCGTACAGGCAATAGGAAATACTCCTACAATGCTTCACCTAGACAATTAACATAAAATGTACAGACATTTTAAAATCACTCATCTATACTGCCTTCAAAGTGATGTTGCTGAAATTTGTTATCCAGCCAATCTTTTGTTGTCTTTAATATTCTATGAAGAGGCATAAAAGAAAGATGTGATGATCACATGGTCCCGAGTGTGAATGAGAGTGTGAATACTCTGGGATGGATATGAAAAAAAAAAATTTTGTTTCTTTCTCCCAAACCTCTACCAGTATAATCCAAAGGTCAGTCACATCCTGATCTAAAAGATTTAATCTTAAGGTTAAATACGAGCAGGTACTGAAGGGTTCAGCCCAGCATCGGGTCATCCCAGACCAGGCTGCTCGTAAGCAGCACCGTGTATCGTTGCATTTAAGGCTGTAAAGAGTCTCAGAGATCGGATTTTAGAGCAGCGTTTTGCAAAATGCTCATCTGGACCTGTTACTGGCTTGTGCAATCAATTTAGTGGGTTGCAATAAGCTTTTCTTATTTTTAATAAAAGGAAATTAAATAAACGGGATAAAACAGATGAGAATAGAGCATAAACTCATAGCAAGAACTTTGTGCAGCGCAGCAAATGCCATGGTCAGTGTTGATGGGTGATGGGAGGAGGGTGGGGCAGGGTGGAGAATGCCTGCATTGCCTGACACTTTGCTTATTAGCATCGTATTTGAATTTCTGATACAGGATGATCAATTTGATCATCACCATAACAGTTGGACTTAGGTACAGCTTAACTTTATATTAACATTAATTCATGGTCTGTTGAGAAATGTGGGGAAATATCCTTGTTGGTGGAAACATCAAGGCTGAATCATGTTTCTCTTATGAGTTTTTATTGCCTCTCTTCAGAAGGGGACAGTATCAATGACAACATTTTTCAATAACAGTAATCATATAACAATATCACAATTTAACTGAACTGGTACAAGTAGCCCCTAAATCAATCACTTATTTTAGACAGAAAAAAAAAAAGGATGATAAGATGAAAAAGGCATAGTAATTTTCAACTTCAGCTGGTGAATCAAAAAGTGTTATAGTGGCAATTTTCAGAAAAATGTTGACTCTAATAAGTACTTTGACTTCATTGGAAACTGTTCCATGAAGAAGACAATTGTACGTTGGGGGAATTATTGAAGATAATTTAAAATGTGGTTTGTCAAACGTGCAACACGTTCCCGTATTTTTGCAATGTTGTTCCTGCAGATGAAATCTTAGCCTAGTCAAAATTTAAGGCACCTGAAAACAGCACGCCAAACTCGCTGAAAGATGTAGAATCATGAACACAAGTTTCTTATTTGTATTTACTAACAGTTGTTGATGAAAAAACCATTATCATTGCCATTTCATTTCATATTTGTGACAAAAGACAGCGTGATTTCTGCAGCTGCTAAAATGATTATTCTTCCTGCAGGTATAGATTTAGATTTATTACATACGGTTTTTATAAGTCAGCTGATAAAAGCTATGCCTTTTCAGTGTCCGCACTATGGCAGGTCATTCAGAAACAGTTCTTATGCAACTCCAGTCTGAGTTAGACGTCTGCTGTCCAAGTTGTGTTGCTCTGGTACTGCAAGTCATGTAGGATTTAAGTTTGTTAGAGATGTTTATTCAACAGGGTAGTTTTTTGTTGTTGTTGTTTTGGGTTTTTTTGCGGTATGCGGGCCTCTCACGGTTGTGGCCTCTCCTGTTGCGGAGCACAGGCTCCAGACGTGCAGGCTCAGCGGCCATGGCTCACGGGCCCAGCCGCTCCGCGGCATGTGGGATCTTCCCGGACCGGGGCACGAACCCATGTCCCCTGCATCGGCAGGCGGACTCTCAACCACTGCGCCACCAGGGAAGCCCTCGACAAGGTAGTTTTACGGAGAAAATGTTGGGATGTTTAAATATAATTTCATATAAAAATGGAGTGAAATTATTGGAAAAGCACGTTACTGGTCAAATGTCAATTAACCTGGGAAAAATTGTGAAGGATTAAGGAGAAAAAAATGTGAAGGATCATTTAAGCAAGAATTATCAGAAAACCCAGCAGATTTCTCTGTGGTTGCAATCACTATTTTGTACATTGTAAAGCTTTAACATACAAAGGAATTTCATCAAATCGTGGATGATCAAAAAACGTAGTGAAAGTTGTCAGTTGTTTCTCACAGCAATTCAAGTTGACTTTGTATAGGAAAGTTTGCACCGTGTGGTAAATGAAAATATTAAGCAGTGTGTCTTGATTTGGGAATAAGGTGCACACTTTTTTAGGCAAAGGGCAATACAATTTGACAAAAATTTACAAAGATGGTGCCTGGGTAAGGTAACTGACGTGTGTAAGTGATCATTTTAGCATCCCTGCGTACTAACTTAGAAAACTAAGGTGGAAACCATGTCCAGTACCAGGGCGTCCAGCATTACTGCAGCCCACTCAAAAGAACATTTAATAAGGCCATTTTAACAACATGGAACTAGAGAGACTGTTATATCTCAATTATTGGTCTCAGGCTTTTATTTATTACTTTGCAGAAGAGAAAAATTTGAAACGTTAAAATATTTGGAATAAAAATCTACTTGCTTTTCAAAACCCTAAATCAATAATGAGTCCAACTTGTTACTCAAAGAACAGAAGAATTGTTTCAGCTTAGTTCTTGATTAACAGGAAAGAATGATTATAAGACAATAAGCTTACAGTCATTTTTGGTTAAGAATAAAGAATTATTTAATTGTGAATTAGAGTGTGTTGTTGCCTGACCATTCTCCATGTCATGTGTACATATCCCGATTAGAAACAAGGAGGTAAGCACACCTGGAACGTGAATAGAATTATCCTCATATGTCCCCACCTGGAATAAACGTTTGAAAACCATCCCCACTGGTCATCCATAATCTTAGTTTTTGTATTGGTTTTCTTGGGATTTTTAAAATATTTATTTAGATATTAATATAACCATATTTAGTATTAACTTTTGTTTTTATCATACGCTTTAAGAGTAAATACTGCATCATGAAATGTGCATTGGTTTACAATAAAGTGTAGTTTTTCTGCTGTAGACCGTTTTGCATTGGAATAAACTAAGTCCTCAGAGGCAAAGAACTTGGCAAAGTTAATATCAAAATGCCCCAGCCAGTGTGACTTTTACCACATAACCCTGGCAGTACTTTTCCATAGATTCATGCATAATATGGAGGTAGAATTCGGAGGATTAGTCTAAGAGAATCTTTAAGGGGCCAGAGGATTAAAAAACAAAGTTGAAGACTGTTTTAGAAGGTGATGCCCTTCCAGTATTTTTCTGCAAACCCTCTCCCTACCTTCCCCTCACAAGGTTTCTGATCCTTGTACTATACGTTAAGAAATTCTGCATTTTGGAAGCCACGCTTATAATTAATAGTCATATGAAATAGGCTTTCATATCTAGAAAGTGTACAGTTCTGGATTATACATTTCTTGGTATTTTTATTACCTGTTCTTATCTTGCAGTTTGTTTATTTCACTGGTCTGATCCAAAATCTGTTTTTCCAATTTGTTTGTAGATAGGGAATGTTCCAGAAGCTGAAGTTCAAGTCTTGTTGTCTGATTTAATACCTAAATGTAACAAAATAAAATTCCTATTTATTATTTTTAATTAGACATAAAGTTATCTAAATTTTAGGAAAACATAACTAAAATGTTACTTGCTTACCCAAGCATCTTAATTTGGCATATTTTTCATTTTCAGAAAAGGCTTGTTGTGCTGGATTATATCAGAGTGTGTTAAACATTGTTTTCATCATGTATTTTGGAAAGGGTTTAATAGTTCTGAACGATGGTGTTTGTGTCAAATAATGTTCATTTTCTTGTTCTGCCATGTTTTACCATTTCACACAGTGAGATAATTGAGAGTATAAAATGGTCATATTTGATATATCGGAAGTTGTTGATAAATGAAAAGAGGCTTTTCCTCTGCTCAAGACACAATGCTGTTCTCACATCTGCCAGTAGACACAGTGTTCAGAAGTCACATACTTCCATTCTATAAGAACGTAGCTCATTTTTAGCCCAGCATTTCCTTGTTTGTATTCACTTGTTTAGCCTTTCTTTCTTCTTCCGCCCCCCCCTTTTCCACTGCTCTTTTTCCTATTTTAAAAATCATGTAAACCCATCAGGAAACAAGAACATCAGTATGAAGTAGGAGCTCAGTTTTGCTTTGTGGGCCTTTCTGACATAGACCACGTGCGGTATCTCTGTTCCCATTGTGTTCAAACAACTTAAAGAATGAATTCTTTCGCGTTTGGCTGCGTTCTAGCAGGAAGAGTCCATGACTCACATCCTCTGTGTCATGGTTACTCAGGATGTGACATCATGTGTAAGTGTCAGGCAGAATTGTTGCCCAGAATGAGGGTCCTTGAAAGAAGCATTGTTTGCTCGGGGTCTGTGTCATTCGTGGAAGCGGCAGCCCAGCCCCACCGTGCAGGTTTAGGGACGGTCTGGTCCTTAGTCAAAGTTGGATGCCTTCATACCATGAACACTTCTGCACATGAAAGAAGACATTGGCCAACCTCAGGGTGTGATTTAATATTAACACCCGGGATATAGATTTGGCCCACATCTTCTTTGGGCCCAGGCATTCTGTGTTGGTTATTGATAGAAGGACCTGGGAACTCAGTCTTTTATTTAGCTCCTAAGAGCTCTAAAATGAGTTCAGTGGGGGAGGGGTGGGAGGATGGCGTGTGGGTCCTGACCCACCCAGGACCAGTTGCGATGTTTTCCATCACTTTTCCGAAGGCCTCCAGCTGCAGGTGACTCTAAGTTACCCAGGTCACATGGTTGTCTGTTCTCTCTGAGTTCTCAGGCCTCCAACCCCCTCACAGTCTGGTTTAATAGTCTGACACCCTGACAAGCTGGAAGAATCTTCGTATCAGAAATTTTCATGTTTGGATTTAACCCATTTCACCTAGTAACTACGCAGCAGATGCCTTAAGTAAGTTGGTACGTAATTCGGTCCCTTGATGTCCTTGCTTGGGCTCCGCCGTCTTAATGTGTTCAGTTGGACATTATAGGCTGTTTTCTTTCCAGCCATCTTCCTATTTTCCTGTAATCCTGGATCAGGTGATATCTGGTTTCACAATAGATTTTTTATATCATGTGACCCAACAGAACCTCATTAAATGCTAGTAAGCCTAACTTAACACAGGATGGCAAAGATTTACATCATTGCTCTGTATCTTACACTTTTTTATTTCTCTTATCTGAACCATAGGCAATGTTATACTTCCAGGACAGCTTTTTGAAGGGCTTAATTGCTCATGAGTTTTACTACCCAAAGGTGGGGTGTGACCTAAACATTACTGATTTATTCTAACAATTGACAATGGATATATCGATACATTTACTTTTAGATTTTTGTGTCTTCTCCTTTTTGGATTTTATTACCTCTGGAGATTACAATTTTCAGTACCTTGTGACCTGTTGTGTAAGATATTTATATTTGTCCTAAACTGCTCTGATGTTGTGGAAAGATGTGGTAAGCAAATAACTTCTCATTCTATATTCAGATAAAAATCTGTTATTCTCCTACCACCCCCCTGCTGTTCTCTCTACCTTATCCGGTAGTTCTCAGAGAGACAATGAAAGAATACTGGTGCCCTTCTCAACGTGGGCTTATTACAGTTGGAAGGCTTATCGTTTCCCTTATTTCTTATCCCCTCCTGACTGATGTTTGGCATTTCTTGGTCTTTTAGCTTAAGTAGCACATAAGAATAATATGTCATGGGGATTGTTTACAATTAAATCTACGTTTGTTTTTTGGGTTTTTTTTTTTTTTTTGAGCATTATTTATAACTCAGGGTAGGAAGATACATAAGACTATAAAGAAGCTAGGGTTAGGACCCAGAAGGCCATTTCACCGATGACAAGGCTTGAACTTGAAGCATCTCCGTAAATCCCCCCAGCAGCACTTTTTCCCCACCCGGACTCTTCTTACTGGGTCACGTATTGTTTGTCATTCAGCATGGCTCCAGATGAATTTTGTTTTAATGTTTTGCTGTTATTCTTCTAATATTTTCGTATTTCATATTCTTCTTTCCTACTACTATTAATTGATAGCTCATGGAATCTTAAAGCTCAAAGGGAACTTGGCAGTCAGTCACCTGGCCAGTCCCCCCATTTCATAGTCACAACCTCGGAGGCCAGGGAAAGCTAGTGCCTTGTTGAGATTCGTGCGTCCAGTTAATCATGGAACTCAAGGCTCTGGGCTGATGGCTAAACACTCTCTGTGCCTCACCCATGTCTTCTTACTCTTCTCTCTGTATAAATTCACACCACAAATTGTACAAACACACAAACACACACCACAAATTGTTTTGGCAGTTCTGTGAGACTCAGCTTCCATCTTAAGAGTTAGGGTTAAGCACAAAGCTTCTAGCAGTCTGCCTCAGTGCTTTTCATGTCGCAGATGCACAAAAAAGCGAAGGGCTCAGAAATGGAAAGTTTATCTCAAGTCCAGAAAATACCAGTGAGGCAGAGGAACATCTCTCTTGTAGTCAAGTATGAATAACATAAAAATGGTTTGTATGTCCTCAGTAGAATAAAGGTAATGTAACTTCAGTAGTAAAAATGAAAATATAGTTCCTGATTTTAAATTTCTATCTAGACACAAATTCTTAATTTCTTATCAATTCATCCTTTTTTCCGCTATCCTCGTGCTTCCTCTGCTTTTCCCTTGTTTCATTAGGTAACCATTTTGTGCTAGTATTTGTCTGGCTGGGCCATTCTATGTTTCCTATTTCACTACTTACTTGGGCTTCAACATCAGTTAACTTCCGGGTCTGCTCTGCGGTTTGATTTAGCAGGTTGGTTCCTATTTCTATCATCACAGCGGTCTGGTTCTGCACTGCGTTCTGTTGTATCTCCACCATTTCTTTCTTCATGTTGTCCTGGATGTAATTCTCAAGCTAGAAAAGAACAAGTGTCAGGAAGACGGTCATGCGTCGAATGATCAGAAACCTTACTCCTAATTAGTTTCCCTGTCTTTTAAAGCACCTCTTGGAAGTCTTGTGCGTTGCTCTGACTTTGCCATCTTGCTGGGTTTTTCTTATCACTAGCAGTAAAAGACAGTGTGATTTTATGTTGATTCAAAATCTGGCAGCCCAGTAACAGCATGTGTGGGAGACAGACGGTTTAGACAGCCCTAGAAGTGCATACAGGCAAGGGAGGTGGTAAAACCACAGCTCAGAGGTGGGCAGATGGCCGTGCCGTGCGGCAGGAAGGGCCACCAGGATTTCGCTGTGTTGCATCCACGTTAGGCAGGAAATGAAAATCTGGTCCGAAGAAGCATCACTATTTCTACCGCTTTCTAGACTTGCGGTTTCTCAAAATATGGGTTTCAGAAGACTCTCTAAGGTAGAGTATGAGGAGGGATGCACCTTTGGATTTTCCCTGTAACTCAGGGCCACGTTCTGCAGCGACCACCCCCCTACCTTCCCCCTTACTGAGGTCATCACACATTAGACCTGTTAAGTTCTCCTAACGTGTGCATTTTTCACGGTTTCGTCATTTTCTCTATCAGGCAGACTTAATCCTAGTCTAGTCTGTTCATTATCTCACATGACCGTCAGGATTGGTTCTTCTCCCATGGACCGAGGGCGTGCCTGCTCATTTTAACACTCGCTTACGTGCAAGAGCGTCAACAAGCTAACTCATTGCCATGGGTATAGGTGCCTATGCCTTTGGCAGTAAAAATATACAGTTAAGTACAAATGCAGGGACTTCCCTGGTGGTGCAGTGGTTAAGAAGCCACCTGCCAATGCAAGGGACACGGGTTTGATCCTTGGTCCGGGAAGATCCCACATGCCGCGGAGCAGCTAAGCCCGTGTGCCACAACTACTGAGCCCGCAAGCCACAACTACTGAAGCCCGCACGCCTAGAGCCCGTGCTCCGCAACAAGAGAAGCCACCGCAATGAGAAGCCCGCGCACCGCAACGAAGAGTAGCCCCTGCTCGCCGCAACTAGAGAAAGCCCACGTGCTGCGATGAAGACCCAGTGCAGGCAAAAATAAATTAATTAATTAAAAAAAGAAAACAAATGCAGGCCAGCCAGGTGTGTGGGAAGGAACATGTGGGCTTCAGGCTGTGCACACCTGCTCCCCTATTTTTCTTGGACTCTAGGTAAGTTGCTCAACTCTGGGGAGGGCCACAGTGTCCTCGTATATATAATAGGGTTTCGGGTTGGTCAGAGGAGTGTTTTAAGGATTAATTAAGCTCTGCTTTTAAAGGCATTGTGCATGTATAACTCTAGGTACTTAAAATTTCATTTCCTTTCTTTGTTTTTCTTAATGATCCAATCATGGGAGCCACAATTCCAGTCATTGGTCTAAACTATAAGGTCATGAGGACAGAAACCTTATTTTTATTTCTTTTTCACATAGTTATAACTCGAAAAAATTTTTTTATTAAATTGGATAATTGAAAGTTGATCATCAAACTGCTTATTTAAAAACAAAATGTGCTTATAGTGCCTTTCTTTACAACTCATCATTCTCTGCAGAGAAACCATTCACAGAGCTAGTCATCAAACCTTATTTCTCCTGAAGTGTTAACCCCTGAGTAATTCTATGCTTCTGCCTATAAGAGTGAGAAAATGGAACGGACAGGGTCGAGTTTCCCCCGACAATCAAGGGCTTCTTTGTTGGTGCAGCTTACACACTGTGTCCGGAGTGATGGTGCAGGGTCGGGGTTGGTGTGAGAGCTGTAGGGTTACTGTTTCCATGCTGGTTTGCATCGCCCCCATCCCACGCACTGCCCATCTCCCTCCGTGCTGGTTATCTTGATGGTTCACAGTCACCCCCTGGTTCTCCCTTGGTTTGGGCAGATCAAATATAGCATGAAACCTGACAATAACTAGAATCCTGATCATTTGTAAAATCTTGCAGTTGAAGCCTTTACTTCTCAGTATGAGATGTGGTCAAAATAGAAAAGACCACCGTAGGAAAAAGAATCAGGTACTCCTACTTGGCAGTCCAACAAACATGTATAGTATAGACTTCATATAATCTGAAGTGTGATAACCCTTGTTACCCTTTTATTAACTAGCTAGTACTAACTAGCTCAGGCCTTTTGGCGGTTGTGGTCTTTCTTTCTTAATTCATTCTTTCCTTTTTCCTTTCTCCCGCCTTTTAAAAATTGTAACTTTTTACAATTTAAATACATGATATAAAACAGCTCATGGATAGAAGTTGGTAATTTCTCCTTCCCTCCCTCCCTCCCTCCCTCCCTGTCTGCTCCCTCTCTTCTCTCTCTCTCTCTCTCTCTCTCTCTCTCACACACACTACCATGGGAATAATGGAATTTTTGAGGTTAAGGTTAAAGCTATGTAAGTCATCCAGAAGAGTTGTCTTAGTTACTCTTAACACCCAGCAAAGATAATATTTAGAAAGACTTATTCTGGGAAGTTTCGAACTATTAAAGATATACTTAAGCTGGGGTTTGGTTTAAGTACATACTCTGAAGTAATAAGTTACAAACTCGTAGAAGTAAGTCTTAATCTTCTTGTTGATTTGAGTACTTAAGGGCTAAATAAAAACGGTTCTATCTTGTTTCGCTCTAAATCGCATAACGAGAAGGGGAAAATGAATCCTTCATCATCCTCAACCCCGACTGTAGAACTAATGAGTCAAATGTGGTTACAATCAACAAGACACATGAGAGGATTGTTTATAATTTGACATTTTAAAGTCAAGTTCCAATTTAAAATTAGACTCAAGAACTTTAAGACATAAAAGACCTAATTTTTTAAAATAAAATTTCTTAACTTTATGGCCATATCTTCCTCTAAGCTTGAAAACAATAGAATATAAATGCTTTTTAAGTCACTATTTTTTCAGCTTTTCAGGATGACAAAGTCTGTGTATGAGTTATGTGTGTGTGAAAGTATATGTGTATAGTATGTTGCAGGGAGGAGGTTAATCTTACGCTGAAGCAAGTTACAGATCTGTGTATACACGTGATGTGTGTATATAGATATTATATATAGTATATACATACATAGTTTCTTTATATAATATATACAACTAGAAAAAGTAAAATCCTATATGATACTGACCCAATTGCTAACTAATTGAAATCTTTGAGAGAAAAGTAAAACACAAACAGGAATATCAAGTATTAGATACTTTGCGTTGATTCTCAACAAGATCTGTGCTTTCACACAAGGGTAACCCTTGTTACCCTTTTATTAACTAGCTACGCAGCGAAATTAAATTAAGGTTTTTGTTGTTGTTGTTGTTGCGGTACCTACCATGGGAATAATGGAATTTTTGAGGTTAAGGTTAAAGCTATGTAAGTCATCCAGAAGAGTTGTCTTAGTTACTCTTAACACCCAGCAAAGATAATATTTAGAAAGACTTATTCTGGGAAGTTTCGAACTATTAAAGATATACTTAAGCTGGGGTTTGGTTTAAGTACATACTCTGAAGTAATAAGTTACAAACTCGTAGAAGTAAGTCTTAATCTTCTTGTTGATTTGAGTACTTAAGGGCTAAATAAAAACGGTTCTATCTTGTTTCGCTCTAAATCGCATAACGAGAAGGGGAAAATGAATCCTTCATCATCCTCAACCCCGACTGTAGAACTAATGAGTCAAATGTGGTTACAATCAACAAGACACATGAGAGGATTGTTTATAATTTGACATTTTAAAGTCAAGTTCCAATTTAAAATTAGACTCAAGAACTTTAAGACATAAAAGACCTAATTTTTTAAAATAAAATTTCTTAACTTTATGGCCATATCTTCCTCTAAGCTTGAAAACAATAGAATATAAATGCTTTTTAAGTCACTATTTTTTCAGCTTTTCAGGATGACAAAGTCTGTGTATGAGTTATGTGTGTGTGAAAGTATATGTGTATAGTATGTTGCAGGGAGGAGGTTAATCTTACGCTGAAGCAAGTTACAGATCTGTGTATACACGTGATGTGTGTATATAGATATTATATATAGTATATACATACATAGTTTCTTTATATAATATATACAACTAGAAAAAGTAAAATCCTATATGATACTGACCCAATTGCTAACTAATTGAAATCTTTGAGAGAAAAGTAAAACACAAACAGGAATATCAAGTATTAGATACTTTGCGTTGATTCTCAACAAGATCTGTGCTTTCACACAAGGGTAACCCTTGTTACCCTTTTATTAACTAGCTACGCAGCGAAATTAAATTAAGGTTTTTGTTGTTGTTGTTGTTGCGGTACGCGGGCCTCTCACTGCTGTGGCCTCTCCCGTTGCGGAGCACAGGCTCCGGACGCGCAGGCCCAGCGGCCATGGCTCACGGGCCCAGCCGCTCCGTGGCATGTGGGATCCTCCCAGACCGGGGCACGAACCCATGTCCCCTGCATCGGCAGGCGGACCCTCAACTGCTGCGCCACCAGGGAAGCCCTAAATTAAGGTTTTAAGAGAGATGGGTGATATGACAGTTGAGTACTCTAAGAGTTAAGAACGTACTTAGTCCCAGAAACGGTAGCAGCAGTAACAACCACAATAACTCTAGTTGATGTTTGTTGGTTGCTCCCATATCTCAGTTACTGTGTTCATCTCTTTCCATGAACCACAGGTGCCCAGTCTCACATGGGCACTTCTGGGCTGGGGTGCCTGGAGCAGACTGGTAGTTCAACCCAGAGGGCACACCGCACTTCCTGCCTTTTAACAGCCCAAAGTGGTACATCCCAAAATTGATGTGAGCATGCCTTCCAATGTCCAAGCTTCTCAGTGCCTTAAAGAAAAAGATAGACCACCTACCACACAGTTAAGGAAGGGGGGGGTCATTTTTACTAATAGAAAAGCCTAGATTTGAAGACTACCAGTGACGATCTTTATCTCCTGGGACATGACAAATGGGTATTTTTCACCCCAAAGACTAGTAGTAAGTTTTAGAGAGAAAGACTCTGAACATT